GTTTAGTGCTTCGGGTTAAGGGTTTAGGGGCTTTTGATTGGGGGTGGGGGGTCGTGGTGCAGGGTCTTGGGGGATTGCGTGCGATTGAGGGTTTAGGATGCGCGCGCATCGGCTTGCCGGGCATGGGGGCTTGGGGGGAGGGGGGAGGATTTACTGGTTTGTGCGAGTGAAACCTTGCCATTCTTGAAGTTTGAAGCACCCTAATCCCAAACCCAAGCCTAAGCCCAACAGCCCCAAACCCCCCAAAAGCTCATAAACCCTAAACCCTAGAAACCCTAAAAACCACATTCCCCACGACCCACCAAAACCCCTAAACCTTAAATCCTTTTGCAACAGGCTTCGTACCTCGACTGGAGTCGGTCGCCCCTGAACCCCAAACCCCAAACCCCAAACCCCAAACCCTAAACCTGCCTTTCTCAGAGGTGATCTGGTGTGGCAGCTTCCCCTCGTCTTGTGGAGGAGGCGGTGGAGATGAATCGACAGGCCCTGGACCTGGCGCGGCGGGCATTAGGGCGCTTAGTTTGGTTTGGGTTTAGGGTTTAGGGTTTGGGGTTTAGGGTCTGGGGTTTAGGGTTTGGGCTTTGCGGTTTAGGGGGTTTACCCTGCGGGCTCACTTCCTGTCGGTATTTGCAGCGGATGATGAGTGAGCAGGGTTCAGAATGCTGTCAAGAAGTAAGATTCTACAAAAAAGGATCAGCAAAGATAACCGGACATAGTCAGAGTGTGCAAGGTTTACGCTAGACCCACGAGTAACCGAGGAATGAAAGGTCACCCTTTTGGTTTAAAGGGCTTTTTGAGGGAACCTAAACCCGAAAAGAAAGGAATGAGAGATTCTGGGGCCAGGATAGCTGGATATAGTCGATAAGCCTAAACCCTAAACCCTAACGCCTAAACCCCTAAACCATAAACCCTGCTATATCCCATTTTAGGGTTAGTCGCCTGCCTTATTGGCAGTGGCTGTTGGAAAGTGGTCTAGGGTTCAGGGTTCAGGGTCTGGGGTTGAGGGTTTGCGGTTTAGGGTTTATTAAACCCTTAACCCTAAATCCTAAAACCCCAAACCCTAAACCCTAAGCCCTAAACTCTAAGCCCCATACCCTTGGGGTCTGCAGGGTGTAGGGTTTTAGGGTGCTAGGGCTGTCGTAGGGTTTGGAGCCTTGTGGCGTTTAGGGTGCAAGGTTTCAGGTGCAGGGTCTTGGGGCCGAGGTTGATCTTTCGGGTTTAGGGTTTAGGGTTTATTTAGGGTTTAGAGCCCAAAGCCCACTGTGTATAGTAGGTTACCTAAGAATCCTATAAAGGGGCTTGACAGAAAGAGCCTCCAAAAAGAAAGAGTAGGTGTTGGGTAACCCTAAACCCTAAACCCTAGACCCTAAGCCCTAAACCCTAAACGCTAGGCTTTAGCGGTCTCTTAGGCCTCGTTCGCTACAGGTTTCATAGGTCATTGAGAGCCCTAGGCTGTACGGTAGGTTCCGGAAACAAGGGCTTACGAGGTTCAGGGATTTGTGCTAGCACCTAGTTGGGTTTGGGGTTTGGGGTTTAGGGGTTTAGGGGTTTAGGGGTGTAGGGGTTTAGGGGTTAGGGGTTAAGGGGTTTAGGGGTTTAGGGGTTTAGGGGTTTAGGGGTTTAGGGGTTTGGGGTTTAGGGGTTTAGGGGTTTAGGGGTTTAGGGGTTTCGGGGTTTAGGGGTTGAAGCAGCCCACCATGCCACAGTGGCGCCTTACACCCACAACTAAATGCCCTGGAGAGGGAAGAACCATGAAGACTGAATTCCAAGAAGCCTGGTGTTCTTCAGGAGGGACTTGACGCAAGCCCTAAACACAAGTGGGCTCCGGAAACCCAGCCCCTAAACTTTAGTCCTTGTGTGTTCGCAACCCTAAACCCTGAACCCTAAACCCTAAACCCTAAGGGGGTGTGCAAGGGCTGCTCGCTTCCTTTCCTGCGGCTATTGCTGTCGTGGCTGTCTCTGCGGCCAGGGCATCGCGTTCAGGCTCTAAACGAGAGACCCTCATAAGGGACCTGAGGGGTTATTCAGGGGTTATGTAGCCTAAGTATATAGAGATTGTAGAAGGCATAAATAGGGGTTATATAGGGGAGTAAGATCAAGGGTCTGCTCTGGGGGTCTCTCCTTCAACCCGTTAAGTTTAGGGTTGAGGGTTTGCATACCCGAGGCCCTGTCCGAGGTCCTTGGGCGCCAAATGAATCCCAAAAAAAAGTAGTTTATCGTCCATATACCTTTAATGGGGATTATAGAAGTATAGGGGATATGATCCCCCAATTTCAGGGTTCATTTGGTCCTCAAGGTATAAGGAGGACCATACCTGTACGTCCTGTCTTGGCTTCCTGGACTGGAGTGTGGAAAATCCGCTTCTGTCCAGGGACAGTCATTTGGATATCCGCTCCGACTTCCGTTTGCGCGGAGGTTCAGCAACGTCATCGTTGGTGACCTCGCAGTCGGGTCGAGGGGTCCAGGGTTTGAGCGAAAGGGTCCGCAGGTCGGCGCGTCTACTCTCTGAAGCTTCTTTGCTGGAGAAGTGAGGCGCTTAGTGTCCTGCTCAAGGCAACCATGAACCATACACAGCGCCTTTTACGGTCTTCCAAGTTCATGGTTTTCTTTTACCGCTTAGGGAAGTTTAAAGTTCAGGGTTTAGAGTAGGGGTGGAGGGGTACCGAGAAATGAAAAGGATGCAGTAACAGTTTTTGTTTCATGGGGCTTATGAGCCGCACCAGAGTCCTAGTCTACGTCGGGTTTTAGCGTTTAGCCCGAAACCCTAAAACCCCAAATAAAAGGTAAGACCCCAAACTCTACACCCAGACCCCAATTCATCATGTCCAGCTCTGGGTCAGGCGTGGGTAGGTCTTTCGAGCCGAGGCCGAGTCTTAAAAAGTGGCAGGTGCCTTCGTCAGTCTTTCTACTACTCTATCCTTATGATTTCTTATCCTGCAATACTACTATACAACTTCTCGTATGCTGATATGTTTTTATTTTTTTTTTTTGGGGGGGGGGGGGGGGGGCTTTCGGGTTTAGGGTTTAAATTTCTCGCGCACAGACAAGCCACGGTTAAGGATTTAAGGTTCAGACTGCCCAACCCAGATCACCGAGGCTCGAGGGAATCCGCAGCACAGGAGACTAAGACCGAAACTCGCAAAACTACAGTTTGGGAAGTTTCCCCTTCTACTAACAGTCCTTAGTAGGGATTCTAATAGGGGCTACAAGAGTCCCTATTAAGGACTTAGGAGAAAGGGGGTACCACAAAGGATCCCAATTTTGAGAACCCACCCTATCATAGCCAAGAGAACAGCCTGGAGCGGATGAACCCTGAAATCTCGTACGTGCAAGAGCACTTCCCTAAACTTATAATTATAACAAATAGCCAAAGCACGATCATTAGATAGTTCGATGCTGAGTGGGAGCCATCGCCTACAGGTTACAACTGCCTTCGTCCGCACAGCAGAACAAACCTTCAGCGAGCCCAGCGAGCCCTAAGCCCCAAAGCCCTAAGAAGACCCAGCGGAGGGTATTGCCATGGTCTTTTTTAAAACCCCAAGACAGGGTTTTGGGCACTTGGAGGTTCGTGGGTAGATAGAAGCAGGGTTAGAAGTAAGGTTGCAATGTTTGGCATACGTACAAACCTACATTTTGATACCCATGAACCTCCAAGTACAGGCGTTTGGAGAGCCTGGACCCTTCCTTCGATTGTTGTTGAGTGGAAGGGTGGCATAATTTCTGGCTACGGTTTTGGTTGTGCTTAGCTCAACCGGGTAAGGACCTACAGTTGAGGGTCTTGGCTTTGTAAAGGCAAAGCGCCCAACGTAACCCTAAACCCTACGCCCTAAACCCTAAACCCGATGTCGTGCCTCGTGCTCTGGTCGCCTGAAGACCAGCAGCGGTCGCTGGAAGTTCTTCGGAAGGTCCCCTGATCAACTGGCTGCTGTTTGGGGCTGTTTGTCCTCAAAAGGGTTACCTAACCTTGACAGTTTGAGGGATTCTTGTTTAAACGTGCTGAGCCTTAGTAAACCTCCTGCAGCAGGCTTGGCACACCACCCGCCGTTAACGCATGCCCTTAGCTTTCATAAAGCCCTAAACCCTCAACCCTGAGCCTTATGCCCAAAACTCTAAACCCTAAACCCTAATCCTAAACCCCAAACTCTCAACCCTAAACCCAAAACCCCAAACCCTGAATCCAGGCACACGTCCTGCCATCAGGCCTGGTGCTTCGATGGCCTCGACCTTTTCAAAGCCCAGGCCCACGAGATAGTCGGCAAAGTCCTCGTTTTACAAGGTTTAGGGGTTTAGGGATTAGGAGGTTCCCTACTACTAAAATACCCCGTACACCCCGCAAATTCAGGAATGTAACCCTGACTTTCCCAAAAACAAGGGAGTCCTTCGGATTTAAGACCTATATATATATATATCTTGATTAAGGGGTATGGGGCTTTGTGGGGTAGGGTTTAGGCTTCCCGAAAATTTTCGGCTCTGCATTTTTTTAGGGTTTAGGGTTTATGTTCCTTTGCCACCCTGCCTGGCTGCACCTGTCGGGCGAAATGCAGGGCACGGGCACTCTTAAACCATCAGGGTTTAGGGATGTCATTGACAGTTCAGCGGAAACATGTGCCCATCCTCTCACGACAGCCGACTGCATCCCGTCAACTTAAATTACACAAACAAGCCGCCTTAACTCAGTAGCCCAGTAACCATATTCTAACAAGGGAACCCTGAACCAAAAAAAGGGGCAAAAGGGTACCACTGGGCTACCAAGATAGCTAGGGTTGTTGGCGCCCGTGAGCACTGCTTCTGAGAGCCCAAACACCAAGTTCTGATATTGGCACCCTCCTTGGGGTTGGTTACTTTAATTCTAACTAAGGCAACCTTGAACCCAAAAAGGGAAAAGGGCAAGTCCCAAACCCGAATTGAGCCCTGAACCCGAAACCTTTTTGTCCCTAACCCTAAACCCTAAACCCTAAACCCTGAACCCTAAACCTTAAACCCTAAACCCTAAACCCTTTTCAAACCCACGCCTCTGGGCGGATGTTGATGGACGCCACCGTGTCGCGGATGGCTCGCGTGATGTGGCGCTTCCTCGCTTGGCAAAGGGGCTTCCAGGGTGGGGGGGCCGTGTAAGAGCGTTTCATCCCGAGACCTTTAGGGGTTTAGGGGCTTAGGGATGTTTAGGGTTTAGGATTTAGAGTTTAGGGGTTAGGGTGTTTAGGGTTTACGGTTAGGGTTGCTCCCTGGCCTGCCGCCTAAACCCTGAGCACTGTGTCCCGGCCTCGTAGGGGGACTGCAGCCCTCTGAGAAGCCAGTGAAAACTCACACCCTACACCCTAAACCCTAAACCCAGAAGCCTCAACATCAGGCAAGGCTCTTCTTATAGCTGCTCCACCCCTGAGGCTCCAGGACGAAGAAGCCACCCGGTCTGATGGCAGAGGACTTAAGGCTTCACTGTCGGGCTTTCGCAGACGAACAACTTGGGCTAGGGGGTTGGGGTTTAGGGTTTGGGGTTTGGGGGTTTTGGGGTTTGGGGTTTGGGGTTTAGGGTTTAGGGTTTAGGGTTTAGGCTTAGCATCTGCCCGCAGGCCTGCAAGTGAAAGCAAAGAGCCCTTGCGGTGCATCAATTGTGGTGCATCAATTGTGGTGCATCAATGGCCTGCTTTGGGTAGCTGTGCATAGCCTGATCCCGATACAAGTTCATCTCGAGCCATGTGCACACAAATACGGATGTACGCATGCACACATATAAACTCAAACATATGTGCATGCATGCAGAATGCATATACACATCTTCCGAAAAGCTATGGACATATGCACCATAGAAAGTGCACATGTCTGTACATGTGTGCATGTCATGTGCTGGTGTATGTGCCTTATAACCATAAACACTCACCCGAAGGGTCCATGTACCTCATTAATATTTGCTTGGGCCCTAAAGTCACTGAATAGGAGGTACTTTAAGGACCAAGTATAAAATAATTAGGTGCATGGACCCTTGAGTCATACACAACTTCACGAACAAGGTCCCCGAGCCCCAGACGAAAGATCCTGGACTGCAACTCTAGGCAAAACGAAACTGTCCAGTAAGAATAGGGAAGGAACAAGAACAGGGGCACACGTAATCATAAGGAAAAGAACAAGAACAAACCCTTCCTGTTCTCAGGCTCATTCTTCAGGCCACCTAAACTCTAAAACCTAAACCCCTAAACCCCAAGCCCTAAGCCCTAAGCCCTAAGCCCTAACCCTACCAACCTTGTCCTCTTGAAGCATCGCTTGAAGAGGTTGTGGATCCTGGGTTGCATATGGTCAGATCTGGGTGCCCCAACTAACATTGGCCGCCTTAGAATAAGGACCCCAAAAGGGACCATATTTTGGAGCAGTAACCATATGGTTCGGAGATTGCAGTAAGGTGTTGGCGGTAAGGTGATAGGGATTGTCAGCTTCAGATAGTTGCAAGGAAACCGAGCAACAGCATCACAATCTGAGGAGTGCCCGAGGATCCCTGTGTCTCCATGCGCAAAGTGAACCCACTTCGTCACAGACAGGCAGAGCACGACCTCAGCAATCGTCTCCATGAATTTATATACGGATAAAGCCGGCCGTCTACGCTTGAATTGGGGTTGGTCGAGTCCATACAGGCGGCAGTGCTTGAAATGCATACATCGACACACACGCATCACCAAATTGCGAACAAGCGTACCTACATGAATGCAAGCATCAGTCCAAATAAACAACTGCACCTACATAAACATGCAATAAATGAGCATAGAATACATACATATATATATATATATAGTTATGCAATTAGTTTATAATGAGAACATCCATATACACGTCTTTGTGTAGACCATCACATGATGACGAACGACATCGAGACCCAAAGATTATGTGTTCCTTGCGGGCGGCATCGAAGCGCTCAGGCATCGCCTTTCCCAGGGGCATGCACTGCAAACACATGGGGTCTAGGTTGGGATGTTCCCCCTATAGGGTTTCGGGTTCAGGGTTTAGGGTTCTATGAAGTACTGTTGGCATCAGGGGGAACATCCCAAGGTTTAGGGCGTTTGCTTTTGGGTTTAAGGCTTAGGGGCGCGACATGAATTCTGACATGGGGATCATAACATTCTATGCTACTATACTGCTATTTGCTTAAGAGCCCAATAAGAAGATAATAATCCCTGTATTGCCCTTGTAAGGAAAACGATGTGTTTTTTTTTTTTTTGGGGGGGGGGTTGGTCTTACGCAAAGAATTAGAAGTATCATCCTGTGAGAGGCTACTGTAGGCGAGAAACATGTAGCCGGTAGAGTGATGTTGATGGTCTGCCAGTCCGGCCGGGTAAACCCTAAACCCTAGACCGCAGGCGATGCCAACCCCGCCCTGTCGAAAAATCTGCACGCCCTGGAAGCCCTTCCTAAGGTTCAGTATCCCCTAAACTCTAAACCCTACACCCTAAATAACCCCAAACCCTAAACCCTATGAGGGGTGTAAGGGTGTCGGGGTGCCCTCCCCGCCTCGGCCCCGCGCTTGAGCGGGCAGCTGAGGATGTCTTCCCGGCGAAACTCCACGGCACCTTATGGGAGGAAACTCTCAAAACAGTGGGAACCCTAAACCCTAAACCCCAAACCCTAAATCCGTCCCCCAAGCACTGGGCCTTTCAACGTGTCCATCTCGCAGGAGTAGTTGGCCTCGGCGGCTTCGATAAGATCGGCATCCAAGTCCATGCCAACCTTTGCAAGGTTTAGGGTTTAGGGTTTAGGGTTTAGGGTTTAGGGGTTTGGGGTTTGGGGTTTGGGGTTTAGGGTTGTGGGTTTTAAATTTCGGGGCTTAGAATCAGCGAGAGGGTTTAGGGTGTAGATTTCAGGGCTTAGGATCAACGGTTTAGGGTTTAGATTTCGGGACTTAGGATCAGCTATTAGGGTTTAGGGTTAACTGGGGGGTTGGAGGGTGTCAGGATCCAGATCCTACGGTGTTCTTCAGCATCATTCCAGGAGAGGGCATTCTTTTGGGAGTCTTAATCCAGATCTCCCCCCTTCCCCCCCCCCTCCCCCCCTAACACGCAAAACAAGGACCCCAATGAAAGAGCCTGCTTCGGGCGATGTGTGCCGCGGACCTTACAGGCTAAGTAGCATGGCCCTTAGAACCCTCGGAAAACTATTCCGAGATATGATCCTCTGGATACCCAATCGTAGAAGACGCAAAATATCCCAAGAGCCTACCTGAGTACTTCGGGGCAGAGGGTGTCAGGAAGCGGGCTTTACAAGGAAGCCTGTCTGCAACAATATTCTTCAAGAGTGGAGTGGGGAGACGATATTCTTAAAGACTCGTCTGGGGAGAGATTAGGCTCACCTTAAGCACCCAAAGCCTACCTTTTGGTAGGCTACCTAAAATCCCATAAGGGGCACTACAACAAGAACCTACAAAAAAGTAGGTTTTGGGTTTTCAGGCAGAGATGAAGGCACCCAACCCACGCCCAGGCGTGTAGGTCAAGGCACTACTCGCTTGGCGTGGAACTCGCGCGCGATGGCCAACGACACGAGGCCGGCGTTGCCTAGGTTTAGGATTCGCAATACCTTCACCCCAAAACCCTACACCGCCTAAACCACCCTTAACTCGCCGGAATAGCCTTACTTGAACCATGATGCTCCTTCCAGGCGCTTGGTCACAGGCGAGACGTTGGGAGCTCAAGTAAACCCTAAACCCTAAACCCTAAACCCTAAACCCTATAACCCTAAACCCTAAACCCTAAACCCTAACCCTAAACCCAAACCCTAAACCCTAAACCCTAAACCCTAAACCCTAAACCCTAAACCCTAAACCCTAAACCCTAAACCCTAAACCCTAAACCCTAAACCCTAAACCATCCCACCTCTCTACAAGCGCGACAAACCCAGGAGCTGGCGTTGCAGATTATTTAGTCATTCAGTGGAATCAGAAACTTCAGCCTAGGGATTTGGGGGGTCCCCAAATAGTAGAATACCCTTACAATAAGGACCCCAATAAGGTACCCCAAATTTCGGCAACCCCTAAACCCTAAACCCCAAACCCCAAACCCTAAACCTTAAACCCTAACAGTCCAGGGGCAGCCAATGTCCAGGACCTCTTTCCGCTTGAAGAAGCTCCTGCCGAGCCTGTCTGGTAGACTCTTTCGAATCCCAAGCCCCCCCTGCCCGGAGTGCGGGATGTACTTTTGGGGTCGGAAGAATTTCGAATATTCTTCGGTTAGGGTCCCTTTATACTTCTACTATAACAAGCCCCAAATTCCTATTCTATGTATTCAGGCCCCTATTGCATTAGTAGCAACGTTTCGGTAAAATGCTTAGCTTAGACCCTCTCTTGAACCCAATGTCAAGCCCCACGGCTCTGTCACCAAGAAGATCCAAGAACTTGGGTGTCTGCGCTTGCCAGCTTGCCGATCTTCGCGAACCATAGGGTTTAGGTTTAGGGCTTATGGGTTAAGGGTTTAGGGTTTGGGGTTTATGGGCAGCCCCTTTCTTTCTAAAGGCGGGCCCTTTTTGGCCCCACATAGAAGATGCTACTTACGCACCAGCGAGACACAAGACCCAAGAGTAGCGTAGGAATGCAAAGTAGGCCACCCGTTGCTTCGTTTACAGGGGTTTATAAGGGAACCTAAACCCGAACAAGAAGGGATCTCGGGCCGACTCTGTGTCCTAGTAGCCCTAAACCCTAAACCATGAAAAAGCCTAAACCCCAAAAAAGGTAATAACCCCAAACCCTGCACCCTAAAAGCACTAAACCCCAAAAAAGGGATCATGGGCCTACGTCCTAGGACAGCACGCCATGAACCCGTGCCTCTCAGTGAGGGCCACAAGGCGACGGTCGCTGTCGCCCCGTTCACCGGGAGCGTGCCGGTAACCGTAGTAGCCTTCAGGTTGCCGGATGTCTCTATAGGAGACATGGGGCTAGGGTTTAGGGTTTAGGGTTTAGGGTTTAGGGTTTAGGCGTTTCCGAAATTTGGTCCGAAATTTGGGGGGGGGAGGGGTTATCTTATTGGAAATCCTACTACTTGGGGTCAACTTTAGGGGTCCCCTATTGTCGTAGGCCCCCACATGGGGCCTATTCTTGAATCCTAAACCTTATAAGCCCTAAACCCCAAACCCCAAACCACCAAACCATGAAGACCTTTTTTAAAGCTGGACTTGCTGACTGCCAGACGCCCGCCTATCCTCGTCCCAAACCCTATGCATTAACCTAACAATTCTCGGGTCCCGCCCTCAGTGGTCCCCGGTCCGGGGGTTTAGGGTTTAGGTCCACAATTTTCTTCAAGGGCATTTTGGCCTCAAGATAAGAACCCTGAAGCCGAAGCCTAAGCCCTATGAAGCCCAGCTCCATAACCCGAAGCCCTAAGCCCTAAACCCTCGACTCTTGCACCCTAAACTCTGATACTAACAGGGTTTAGGGTTTAGGGTTTAGGGTTTAGGGTTTAGGGGGGGGGGGGGGGTAACAGGTCCGAGGGCTGCTGTAGTTGCCGTGCTCAAAGAGGGGGCGTCCTTTCTTCCACTTCGTGGCCCCGCGCACGACGCTGGGCTCCTGAGGTGAATGACCCCCCCACATATATCCAAGGAGCAAGCCGTGAAATAAAGTTTAGGGTCTCGGGTTTACAGGGTTCAGGGTTTTGGAGGGTTTTAGGTTTAGGGCTTAGGATTAGGGTTTAGGATTCAGGTTCAGGGTTTAGGTTTAGGGTTTAGGGTTAGGGCTTAGGATTTAGGGTTTGTGCTGTAGAGGTTGGTGCTTTTGAGAAGGGAGGGCATCAGAAGCCTCAGGACTCTTTGGGTGGGTAGGGGGAAGGAGGAGGTCGCATGGCTCCGAGTCAGCGATTATGGGACTTTATCGAACACCCTTCTTGCAGTGGGACGAGCAGAATCTTTGACGGCGCGTCGGGTACAAGGTTTAGGGGGTTTAGGGTATAGAGCTTAGGGTACCCTACGGTAGGGATTTACAGTATCATGTACAGGGCATGCGACCCCAACTAAGTCCTTAGGGGTCAGGGTTTAGGGTTCATTGGGTCACCAGCACCATTCCGCGGCGCCACTTCAGAATCAAAACATGCCCCCCTCCCCCCGCCTCGCCCTGCTTCGCCTTCGGCTGCGACATCTTGGCACTTGCCTGCTCTACCTCTTTGTCATTGTCGTCCTCAAGGGTTCAGGGTTTAGGGTTTAGGGTTCAAGGGTTTTGGGTTTAGTGTTTAGGTTTAGGGTTCAAGGGTTTAGGGTTTGGGGTTTAGGGTGTCATCCTCAGGCGAAGGCTTTTCGGGTCAGAGGTCTGCAGGGCTTTACAGCCTTAACTGCTGTACCCCCCTCTATACCCCCCCCCCCCCCCCCCCTCCTGAGGCTGGGGTTTAGGGTTTAGGGTTTAGGGTTTAGGGTTTAGGGTTTAGGGTTTAGGGTTTAGGGTTTAGGGTTTAGGGTTTAGGGTTTAGGGTTTAGGGTTTAGGGTTTAGGGTTTAGGGCCCGTTCCTTCTTCAGCGGCTGCGTCGCCAGGCCCCCAGGAGGCACGAAGGACAGCACTCTCATGCCCCGGCCTGGTTTAGGGTTTAGGGTTTAGGGTTTAGGGTTTAGGGTTTAGGGTTTAGGGCTAGGGCGTTGAGGGTGTTTAGGGCGAAGGGTTTCCCTGAACACTTCCGGCGCTTTATCCGCCACTCACCCCGGGTGCAGACGAAAGCGGCAGGCCCACAGGTTATATACTTGGAGGTTCATGGCACTCATTCACCAATTAGAACTGTACTTATGACTGTGCTTATATCCATATTAGGGCACTCAAGGGGCTTATAAGCAGGTTTTTAGTACAGTTAGAATTGGTTAAAAAGTACCATGAACCTCCAAGTATAGAAGGTATGATGCAGGTTTTTTTTTGTGGCGCCCCCTCCGTAAGAGCACTGCAAGTGGACCCGCTGGATCTACTTGGTAGCCCAGTAGCCATGTTATGATCAGGGCACCAAGGCTATAACCATTGAAGAAATGCTCGATGCTGCCGCGGAACCATTCGCCACCCGTGGCTCCTTCAGTACGGGTCAGGGTCAATTCCTCTTCAACCCAGTATGACCATGTTTATGGTTAAGCGTGTAGGAAGATCTGTGTGGAGACACCAGTGGCGGGCTTTGCAGCCAACACATTGGCAAGAACAAAAACTATGAAGGGGCCGCATACATTGCCAGTTTTGGAAGCTGTAAGTGTGCGTAGGTAAGATTTTGCTGTGATTGCAGTTTCTGCAACTCCCTCATTAACTTTCCAAGTCTCATGAACTTTCCAAGTCACACAATGTTGTCTTGTTCGGCTACCCTTACACTTGCAAGGCTCCAACAAAAAAAGTGACGCGGCAAGATTTGCATCCGTGAGGAAGGGGCAGGAGGAACACTGCTCTCCATGTCTGTCATTTACCTTTTGCTGATTTCGAAGGCCTTATACTTAACGGCTCTTAGTAGTGAATTGGGGAATCTAGGTGCCCTCAAGAAAAGACATGTAGGGGGAGATGAGGTACCGATTTTCCTCATTCCCAAAGTAGAACTAGCAAGTATAAGGCCTCCCAAACCCGATTTGCTAAACCCTAAACCCTGAACCCTGAAACCTAAACCCTAAACCCTAAACCTTAAACCCTAAGCCCTGAAAACCCTAAGCCCTAAACCCTAAACCCCTACCCCCTAAACCCTTGAAGAAGTTGAAGTCTCAGGGCAGAGGCTCTGGAGGATCCACCTCCAGGCAACTTTAACCCTGAAGCCCAGAGCCCTAGTATCCTGAAGCCCTAAACCCCGAACCCTTGTCAGGGTTCAGGGTTTAGGGTGTAGGGTTTTGGGTTTAGGGGTGCAGGGCTTAGGGTACAGGTTTTGGGCTTAGGCTTGTATACCGTTCGGGTTTAGGGAATCCGGATAAACGCGAGTTAGGGTTTAGGGTGTGTACCGTGAAAAGTTCTGCACCCTTCGGGTTTGGGGCTGTTATGTTGCAATCTGCCAAGCTGACACTCAGGACGCACTGCAGGGCAACACGCTGAACAAATCATAGCGCCTCCTTCGAAACCTAGCAGGACGAAAACATGTTTTTGGGCTTAGGGTTCATTAACCCTAAGCCCTAAGCCCTAAGCCCTAAGCCCTAAACCCTGAACCCTGAACCCTCAACCCTAAACCCTATTCTACCTTCTGCCGAGGCGCCAGTGACCGCTCAAGCCACGCGGATGCCGGGGCGGTACGCTTCCGCCGACCACCAGCCATGGCGACACAGGCAGCACTATAACACAAAATGCTGGGGTTTAGGGTTTAGGGTTTAGGGTTTAGGGTTTAGGGTTTCGGGTTTAGGGTTTAGGGTTTAGGGTTTAGGGTTTAGGATAGTTTAGGGTTTAGGGTTCAGGGCTTAGGGTTTAGGGTTTAGGGGGATGCCCAGTAGCCTAATTAGGTAGAACAAGGTGCCCTGTTTGTTTCACAGGCTTTAGGCGGCCTAGGGTTTAGGGTTTGGTCCTGTGAGAACCAAGTATGAGGCCCTTCATTCAGAGAACAAGGAACTGTGCACATTAAGGTAGGAGGCTGTAGCGCGGTGCACATTAAGGTCCTAAACCCTGAACCCTGAACCCTGAACCCTAAACCGTAAACCGTAAACCCTAAACCCTAAACCCTAAACCCTAAACCCTAAACCCTAAACCCGAGGCTGTAGGGTTGATGAAAGTGCGAGTGTTCCTTGCAGCTTTGGGGGTTCTCAAGGCCGTAGGAGTGTGGGCCGTTCAACAGGAACCGTCTATGGCGACTGCAGCGCGTCTAGAAGGACCCCGAAGGCCTCGAAGTACATGCTTCAAACCCACAGAGAGAGAGAGAGAGAGAGAGAGAAAAAACAAAAAAAGAGAGAGATGGAGAGACCCACCTCACTATAGCAACGGCAACTATGCGGAGGGAACAGAGAACCTAAGGTATGCAACTCATAATCCATTTGAGGCAAGGCCCTCATACCTCTACTTACAGCTAGCACAGGGGCCCCCTCGGTTGCCAACAAGGTCTTTCCTGAATCCGAACCCTCCTAAACCATCCAAACCTAAACACCCTAAACCCTAAACCCCAAACCCCAAACCCTAAACCCTAAACCCCAAACCCTAAACCCCAAACCCTAACCCTAATCCCTAAACCCAAAAAAAAACGACGGCCTTGCGGAGGTTGAGCCGCGCTCTTGGCCTCGCGTCCCGCACAGGGAGGTTTGATGGGGGAACATGGGCACCTTAAGCCCTATTTTATGGTTGGGTTTGGGTTTAGGGTTTAGGGTTTAGGGTTTAGGGTTTGGGGTTTTGGGTTTGGGGTTTAGGGTTTGGGGTTTAGGGTTTAGGGTTTGGGGTTTGGGGTTTAGGGTTTAGGGCTTGGGGTTTAGGGTTTCGGGTTTGGGGTTTAGGGTTTCGGGGACTGTAGGGTCTATACCCTAAACCCTCAACCCCAGCCTCTGAAGAATTCTACTACGGGATAAAGGGCCCTCCAGCAAGGCACTCGAATAGATGGAACAAGCCACAGCTGTGCAGGTAAATGGACAGACGGAACGGCGCATAGAAGGGGAGACAAACAGAGAAATCAGCATCCGACAAGCTCTTGCGCACGAGCACGACACCCAGTTCCCGATTTCCTTTTGTGGTCTCAAACCCTAAACCCTAAACTAACCCTAAACCCTGAACCCTGAACCCTGAACCCTGAACCCTGAACCCTGAACCCTGAACCCTGAACCCTGAACCCTAAACCCTAAACCCTAAACCCTAAACCCTAAACCCTACAGGAACGGAAGGGGGGCAGCTCAGCTCTCGGACGTTCAGGATGCAGAGTTTAGGGGGTTTGTCCGGAAGCATGCTCAGGAAGGGCTCCTAAACCCTAAACCCTAAACCCTAAACACTAAACCCTAAACCCTAAACCCTAAAAGGCGAAGCTCCGCAGGCCTTCATTGCCCGAGTCAACCCCGAGCCGCTCCGCAGTACCGCTTGACCTTGATTCGGGTTTAGGGTTTAGGGTTTAGGGTTTGGGGTTTGGGGTTTGGGGTTTATGGTGTAGGGGTTTAGGGGTCCAGGGTTTTAGGGTCTTGGGGCTTAAGGGTTGAAGGGGGAATTTGAGGCGCTGTAAGATTGAATCCTTAGGGAGGAGGCTCTGGTTCAGGGGGTCTCAGGCCCAGCCAGGACTTGGGCGGTGTAAGGCCTAGACGTCCATGGGATGGAGCTGGCATCAAGGGAATCATACTCGGAGCCCTGAGGATGTACCCCTAAGGGGTTCCCTTAATGCACTCCTACTATGGCCCTTCTATTCCCTGAGAGGATCTTGAAAGAAACGGTCCCCAAACCCAAGGGTACAAGCTTAGGGGTCCAAGGGACCCTAAACCCTAAACCCTAAACCCTAAACCCTAAACCCTAAACCCTAAACCCTAAACCCTAAACCCTAAACCCTAAACCCTAAACCCTAAACCCTAAACCCTAAACCCTAAACCCTGGCAAGGCTTCGGGGCTTCGGGGCCCGTGATCTCCGTCGGAGAAGACTTCCTGTAAGACCTGCCCTGAGCAGTCAAACTACCAACGACATCGAAAACACTACCCCCTAAACCCTAAACCCTAAAACCCTACACCCCTAAAACCCCAAAACCCCAAAACCCCCAAAAAAGCTTAAACCCCTACGCCCTGAGCCCTTTACACCCTGCACCCCTTTGTTGAATTCACCTTCCGCCCCCGCCTAGAACATCCCGGCCAAGTAGCCCGAAACCCTGAGCCCTAAACCCCAAACCCCAAACCCTAAACCCTAAACCCAAAAAAGCTCCGGCCAAGTAGCCCTAAACCCTAAACCCTAAACCCTAAACCCTAAACCCTAAACCCTAAACCCTAAACCCAGCAGAGCTCCGGCCAAGTAGCGGGAGCTGCTGAAAGCGACCACGCCCAAACCCCAAGCAATCACCAGGAGCTGCATGCCTTGGGGAGGGTTTAGGGTTTAGGGTTAGGGTTTAGGGTTTAGGGTTTAGGGTTTAGGGTTTATAAGGCTTGGCGTTTAGGGTTTTGGGGATGTAGGGTTTCTAGGGGACGGGTGGTCGGTTGTCTATAATCTCTCAATTGAGTGAAGCCCCCCGCGCCCCGCCCCCGCCCCCCACCCCCCCCGCCTCAGCGACCTCTAATTTGCTTGATTCATGGGTTTAGAGACCTAAACCCCTGACCCCTTCTGGGCACTGGACTGACCCCAAACCCTATAGATCCTCAAGCCTCCCTCTCTTCCTCCCGTTTAGGGTCACGGGCTTAGGGTTTGGGGTTTTGGGTAACCTGAAACTCTACCGTCCCACCTCCCTTAAAGCCCTCAAGCTTACGGCCTACCCCCGCCCCCGCGCAACCTAGCGCTGCTGCACGAGTACATAGTCCAGGGTTGGGGTTACGAGTCTTAATCCCTTGACATAGGACGTCGATGCACTTGGTTCCCTCCCCGCAGCCTGCCAACCTCCTCTCCAGCCAAGCCAGCAACACCCAACACCCTAAACCCTAAACCCTAAACCGCTGGCTTCAGGTTCCGGGTGCACAAGGCTTCCTCGTGCGAAGCCCAAGGGGCAGTACCAGGGAATCGACTCGGTACCCACCGCTGCCTCGGCCAGCTGCAGCTTCATCGGCTTGGGGGGGGGGGGGGGGGGTAGGGTTTAGGATTTAGGGTTTAGGGTTTTAGGGCAAAAACCCCAAACCCTACCCAGCGTAAGCTCTAATCTCAAACAGAAACATAACGGCTACTGTAAGTGTATAACACAAGATCAAAACCCTAGACCCTGCACTTCCCCCCCCCCCCCCCCTGTGAGCCCTAATTTGCAACCCTAGAATCCCCAGAAACCCTAGGAGGTCAGTATAAGCTTCCGTTTGCCACCCACCTAGCTTGAACTGATCGTGCACTTCGCCACTACGCAGGGAACCCACGTAACATTACGGAGCGGTGGGTTGAGGGGCTGGGGGGTCGTAAATCCTACGCCCTGGGTTTAGGGTTTAGGGTTTAACCCTAAACCGGAGGGGGGGGGGGGGGGGCAGAAGGGTGCCAGGCTTGCGGGTGAGGTGAGCTCTGATTTGCTGCAAGGCGCAGGACCAACATCGAGAATGCCCATGATGAACCTCAGCACAACAAGCCCCGGGAGGGGAAACTTTTTGGTTTAGGGTTTAGGG